ATCGCAAGTCGTACGACACAGATGAGGTCGTGCTGGGAAGCCGATAGAACGTGGAGGAGAGTGTAAGAAGAAGATGCGGGAAGAAACGCAGCGACCGGGACGACGAAATAGGCGCAAGGAAGTGTCGGCGAGCGATGTCCTTTCCGGAACCCGCCAGATTCGTGTTGCCGTAGCTCTATTGGCGGGTATTCTGGACGAGGATTGGTGAGAGGCCGTTTTGCTACACGGCCAGGGGACCCGAGGCGTGTACAGTCCCAAGTCCAGCGGAATCACATTTGCGCAGTGGTGGCGGAGATCAAGGGCAATTTCAGACTCCGCTGCTCGGCTCGTTCGGCTTGTTGAACTTTTTTCGCAAGTCCTGAACGACCTGGACGTAATAATTAGGAATGTCCCGACGAGGGAGCGGGTATACAGCAAACACCAATATCATTTTTATCCATTCAGGAACCTGACAGATGTCCCTTCTCGCAAACGCAACACTGGCGGGTAGATGCAGCCGGGCTCCTCGGTCTTGTACTCTTACCAAGAAGATGGGTCGTTGTTATAGATGATTTTATTTTGGTATGGGATGTTGCTCTCCTGTCGTCCAAACACATAAGAAAGTTCTCGTTCCGTGTCGTTCCCGCAGCGGTATCATGCTAACCTCTTTCCAGAGGTCAAATCTACGCGGGCTGCCCAATCAAATTCGACTAAGGATCGCTTCAACTTATGTATATCGTCCAACCACGCTACATACTGGATTTGGAATGATTGATTGAACTTGTTGACCGCAGGTTCCAGACCAGTGTACCCGTGAACTGTAATAACAAGAACATCCATCTTTCCTCTTCCCAGAGACGTTTGCGGTCGGCACACGAGAGCCTGGCGGTAATACTAAGCGAAACGGCGCTTTCGGTTAAAGCCTGGTTTAATTTCGTTCCTTTCTCAGCACCCGAACTGAATTTCATGTACTGTAGGTCTGGGGACTGGTAATCAGTCGAGCCTTGAGACTAGAGGAGCGATGGCACGGCGCCGCAAGACGCGTGCAGCAGTTCCAGCTTTCTCCCAGTCTTACCCAAGTATTTTCTTGTGAACCCCAATGCGGACCTGCGCAGATCCTCCGAATTGAACATAAGACATCCCGGCACCAGACCAGACTAGACCCTCAGCGTCCGTCTTGAAATCAATCTATGACCGACCTTGACTCTATGCGGTAACGCTGCAGACATGGACGCGGCGTTATATTATATTGTAGCGGCTTGACGGTTCCGTCGAGCGCGTAAATGGATATTGAATTTCGACTCGTTACTTCCACGCATCGGTGGATTCGTACATACGCGACACGCCCTGCAACAGTCTAGTGAATGCTTATTCTTGTCAGGAACTTATATATAATTTGAACTAGCATTGGCTTACTACACTGAACGGACAGCGGGCGGGTACGGGGGCGGGCGGGGTGGAGCGTGACGCCGCGTTGGCATCGGACCATCGGTTTGAAGTTAGAGAAACAGAGCTTTTAGAGCACTGTCCTGGCGGCACTGGGGGGTTCGACGAGTCCTAATCATCGTTCTAGGGAGCCAGAGGCAGGCCAGACAGGAAACGGTGGAATTTCGGGGTTTCGAACCTGAGACTCTAGAGCGCTTGACCATGGAGATATAACTCGTTAAAGCGGACGGAGACCTGGGTGATCACATCCCCGAGGCAGGTGGAGTGCCGCGCGTTGTCCTAGGATCCAGAAGCCCGAGGTCCGAGTTTGATAGAGAAAAAACGGACAGATGGCGCCGACTGTGGTTGATTATTTTGGAGTGCGGCGGAACTTGAGCAGAGAAGACCGATTCGGGCGCAGCGAGTCGCTTATCATACTGAGCCAGATGGACGTAGAATGCAGTATATTTGTACTCTACCTCCCGAGTGAGCTAATAATTGTATATTTGCCGTCTGTCGGACAAGCTCGTGTGATTGAAGAGGAGGAATTCGAATGGGAATGGGACTTGCAGAAGATGCAGTCTTTGTCTTCGTCTTCGCCGACAGACCGGGGCGATCCGCGTGGCGTAAACTCGAGGGTGGCTTGGACGACGATCCAGGGTTTGAACGAATTTGAACCAGACGCATGGCCGTTGTCAAACCTATCTAGGCGCTCAGCGGCATTACCCATTAACACCAGCCACCTATCCCGCGATGGTCACCGTGATTGCAGCTGACTGGTTTTGGAGTTCTGCGCCTGCACTGGTCGGTGGCCCATCCTCGCCTCGGATTTCGATTAGACATCTTAGAATGTCGGCCCGATGTCCAGGATGTCCATTTGAGCTGCGGTTTAGCGTATATCGAGAGCCTCGGCGTGCACTGCTTGCAAGTCATGGAATCGCGAAAATAATCGTGCCGCGCGGCAGCCTTGACACGAATTCAATTCGGGCAAGCCTACACGAGCTGAGGACCCCAATCTCGGGTCGATCCCGCAGAGGCGCCCACGGATAGCATTATACCTGATATGGGAGGCCCAATGAACTTGTTAGATGATGTGGAACAAGACAACAGTGTGCCATACCGACCAACTTGAAGTCGACTCCTACAAAGGTAAATGTATCATCGAGTTTAGGCTTCGAATGATACATGCAGCTCACCGTAATATGCGTCGTAACGATGACAGTGTTCTGCGGCTGCCAAAGGTCGAAAGGTGGACATGGATGGTGAGAAACGTTGAAAGATGGATGCCGTGATATACTTCCCACGGCGGTTTGACGGCAACAACAACTTCAACAAGGAATATTTCGCGGGATGTTGACACCGTTTTCCTGGCATTTCTGAGGCGTGGTTTAGTAACGAACGATAGGACGCGGAGCGTCGATGTCTGAGAACAGAAGTGATAAGGTCAAACATGGTTTCGAGATTACTTCCGCGACGATGAACGTTTGTTCCCTGGTTGCAGTTCAAGTCAGAGGTATATCCTGGTCCATATGCTCTGTCTGCAACGTGGGGTCGATAAATTCAATCCCACGGCTGTCCGCGTCGAAAGACCTCAAGATCAACGAATTATAACGTGGTTCGGGGCATCCATACTCCGCAGTGTTACCAGAACGGGAAAGTAGACGTTCGGCCAAGGACAGCGGTAGACTTGGCGGAATTATAACGTGGTTCAGAACCGGAACATACAAGTCCCGTCAGAGCAAGCCGGGCTGGAAAGTAGCCGTTCAACCAATAGATTTGGGCCGGGCAGGACGAGCCGCGAGGACAACACAGACCTTCGGGCATAATTCAACGACTGGCAGGGCGAGGCTCGGACTGGATTAAATGGGTAATTTGAACCATCAAGCACGTCCAACGTACACAAGAACCTGAACTCACAAGGGAATTCATCGAGGTTGGCCAGTGAATAAACTCGCGGACCAACGACGATCCGCAGGGGTTCGATTATCGAGCTTGAATCCGAGTGTTTCTCCTTCCAATCTTCCCTTCTCTTCCCTTCAGCCAAGCCCGCGATAACGGGAGCACCTGCGCGGAAATCAATTCAGAGTCGTCATGCAAATCTAATGCCGCACCAGTAGACTTGAACGAACAGTAGATGGATACGCACGGGGAAAGTCGGGGAGTATCGCACACCTTCCGTATCATTCCAACCTGCACACGAGCTAAAGTGAACCTGAGCAGGGTTTATGGTGTGCGAAGCGATGGAAGGCCAGCCTGCAGCATGCGGTGGACAAAGACGCAAGGAGAGGGAAGGCACGAAGATAAAATGCGACCAGAAGCCCGGGAATGGAGCACAAACCAAGATCGGGGGCGCGATGGGCGGCCCATAACCACTGGCACAATCAAATTAAGTGACCGCGAAGTGCGAGGCTCCCGGGGACGTCACGAAGCAGCCGCGGTCCATATGGCGTGCGAAGGGATGCATGCGCGGAAGACGAGGCACTTGTGCGCTGTGCACGTAAGGGCGCCGCGGCGTCCGTCGTTCGTCGTCGTCAGAAGGGACCCTCGTACGTCCTCGTCCTCGCCAGCGTTCATCTCCGAGCCAATTCAAGCGGTGAAGCGTCCGAAACGAGCGGCAGGCGCCAACTTTAACGCCTGCCAATCGTGCCTTGACTTTTGGCGGCTTGAGCGAAGTCGTGGTTCAGAGCAAAGAAGGAAACACTGCCACCGGTAAGTTCCGGTTATTTTCAACCATTCAGCGGTCGTTCTTGGGGGGTTCAACAGCGATAAAATCACTCGGGTAGGTATCCCCTCGTCTTGAAGATGCTTTGCTGCACTGGATTTGTTGAACCGACCGCAATCTATCAACCTTTTCCGAAGACCACACGTTTACGCCGTGCCCGAGGGGCGAAGAGACCAACTCAGTCAAGGGAAGGGCCAGGGAAGACCCAATGGCATAATGTTTAATGCACCTGCTCCAATTAATGTAAATTGAAGTGCGTGATTTCAGCAGGAGATCCTCGGTCGATTCGAGGTTGGGTCATCCAAAGTCATGTTGGCTTTTTCATTCCTTCCTTCAACCTCCCCTCTCCTCGCTCAGGAGCCCAGCAGCGTCTCGGTGCACCTGATTTATCTAGCAAGTAGCCGGTTGAATTTCACTATGACACTAGGAGCTCTCGGCGAGGGTTCAAACTCTGACACCAGGTGGTTGGCAAACTCAGAGATCATTCCCCTCCTCGCCATCCAAATCCCATCTCCTCACACCCATAATGGAGGACCCAATGGCATAATGGTTAATGCACCTGCTCCAATTAGTGTAAATTGAAATGAGTGATTTCAGCAGGAGATCCTCATTCGATTCGAGGTTGGGTCATACAGCCCTATATGTGTTTTTTCTTTTTCGTATTCCTTCCTCCAACCTCCCCTTCTCCTCGCCCAGCAGCCTAGCAGCATTTCATCCAAGAAGTAGACCTTGGTTGAATTTCACTACTCAAGAGCCAGTTAGTAGTGCTCGGCGATGGCCAAACTCTGGTTGAAAAAAAATCTAGTGATCATTTCCCATCCTTCTCAAGCCGTCCCAATCCCATCTCCTCACACCCATAACAGCCAAAAGCATGGACCCAATGGCATAATGGTCAATGCACTTGCTTTAAATAGTCAATTTGCAACTGGGTAATTTCAGCAGGAGATCCTCGTTCGATTCGAGGTTGGGTCATGACAGAAAAAACTAAAATGTTTTTGCTCGTCTGAATCCGAGGCATAATTCTGGGTTCCCTCATCGAACAACCCAAAAGCACGACTTGAACCACATAAAACCAGTAATAGAAGGGCAACGCGCCTGCCCGCATTATATTCAGCGTTTTTGACTTTCCAACATCTCGCAGCAGACGCAGCTCACGACGCCAATTCATTTCAACGCATCTACGCCTACACATTCAAAGCAAATTCAAAGCACTTCGACACCCTACTCAACAACTCAACAAAGCAAGCAAACGACGTATAACGACAAGAAGACCAACCCAACACTACTCTTACTCCTACTTCGTACTGTACCCATAAGCAACACCAAAAAAAGACACAAGAACGAAAAACACAAGAACAAAAAATAGGTATCTCGGTACGTAGTAAATAGAGTTGAGCAAGTAGGCAGCGTTAATATGTAGTGTGTAGTGAGAGGGTAGGTAGAGTTATAAGTGGAATAGATAACGAGGCGAGCGCGAGCGCAGCGAGTAAGCGCGAGGAGGAGACGAGACGAGTAGACGACGAGTTAATAAGCGCGAGGAGTAGACGGAATAAGCGGTTGAGGAGACGGAGTGGAGGAGAGAGCGAGGAGACTGAGCGAGGAGAGACAGAGAGGAGGCAGAGGAGAGGTGGTATCATATGTACAGGTATTGAGTTTCGTTCGATTCGACGCCGACCGTCGATGGCAGCATAAAAATGTTTTGAGTTCGAGTCCGTCTTCCTCCCCGCCATCGCTTTATACGGCAAAGGCATAGGGAGCTAGCAGGACGCGAGTTACACCCGCACACCACCCCCCGCATCCCTCACCGCCGACGCCAGCCTTGGATCGCGCGTCCTCCCCCCGCTTACGACGATGGGGACTGGGACCGGAGTCGCGCTCGAGGAGGCGGAGGGGGCGATGGTGACGAGTGTGACGCCGGTTGGGACCGATGCCGATGCCGGGACGTTGGAGGTAGTCGAGGAGGTGGTAGCGGCGTTGGTGTTGGAGGAGATAGTAAAGTCCACCGCGCCCGCGAGCGCCGACGAGCTCGTCCCCGTCCCCATTGTACTCCCGCTCGTGCCCATCGTACTCGCCGCAGAGTCGTTCGCGTTAACAAGCGCCCCTGCTACCCAAAGAAACAAAGACGTCAGCATCCCGCGCCCCTCAGGAAAGGGAAACCAAACCGACCTTCCACGCCCTCCTTCTGCTGCCCCGACCCACTCCCACTAGCGACCGCGTTCCCCCCTTGCCCCTCACCGCTTCCCTCACCGCCCGCGCCAGTAGCAGCTCCCGCGGTGGTATTCGTCGCACCAGGAGTAGAAGAAACAGCGGCGTCCCCCGTCTTCTTCTTCCTCATCCCCCTTCGACTCTCAGCCGGATACTCGCACTTGAGCGCGCGGCGCTGGCATTGGCTGCAAACAGGTGGGTCAGCATCGTCTCTCCGTCAAAGAAACAAAAGGAGGAGCGGAGAGGACGGAAATGAATGGAACGACAGGAGCCGAGGACGGCTAGAAGCCCGACGAGGCATTTACGCCCTTCCCGCCTTCAGTGTCAGAGACGACACAACGACGACAAGGAAGGGGAAGCGGAAATGGAACGTCGAGGCATTTGTGCGGGACACGTAAATCGTCGCCGGGCTCGTCTCGGTCGCCGGGCTCGAAAGGATGCGCTGAGACAATGCAAGACGACGCCATGCCAAGATCGCGAGCAGCGAAGACGCCCCCCTCCCAACGATGAATGAAAAATATGTAACCCGACGCGCACGATGGATGGGTAAGAAGGCACCCCAAACGCCCAATCCCCAAACCCCACGCACTAACCCAAGTAAGGCAAACAAGGCAAGGCAAGGCACCCGAACACGCCTGTCGCCCCGTATCGAACCACCAGACGCAATGCGTAATGTGTACGTTTTGGGGTTGCGTGCAAGGATCGGGGTGAAAAGATGGGTGCGAGGAGTGAAGATGGGTGCGAGGAGAGGGTCGGGGTGCAAGTGCGAGGGAAGGGAGTGAAAGAAAAGGTGAAGAGACGGAGAGGATCGTACGCCGCCCACGCACGCATCAAGGAGATGAAGTGAAGTCAAGCGAAGGAACGTAAAAGCGCCGGACGCAAAGGCCAAGTGCATGAAAAGCAAATCGAATGGCGCCAGATCGCTGGCTCGCTCGCTAGGCGCTCAAGGCGGTGCGAGAGCAAAAGTGAAGTGAAGGAAAGATAGTGCGGGGGGGCAAAGAACACCGGCTGATGCACTCTACCTCGCATGATCGCAATGCCGAGGCTAACGCAGTGCACTGCGAGAGTAAAGCGCCCGATGCTCGCGACCCCACCAACGCCAAATCGCGAACTCGCAGTCGCGCCAAATCGCTGGGCTCCGAGTCCAAGGTACCGCAATCAAAGATAGCGCTGCTCGCGACGAACGCAGCGCGGGGTAAAGGAGCCAAAGGCTGATAACGCTAGCACGGCTCGCGATCCCCCGCAAAGCGCAAAGCCGTGATGAGTGAGTCGGGCCCGAAGCTGAGCCCGAGCCAGCGCGAGCACGAGCACACTGCGGATGCGAGCGAGACCAAACAAGACAAGTGCGAGTCGCGCACGAACGCGACGACCCACAAGCAACGCGACGCAAGACGCGACCAGGCGCCCACGCGCGCGCCTACGAAAACGAGAACGAGCACGCGCACAGTGTGACTCGCGTTCGCTGGTCCGCAATCGCGCAATGAAGGCACGGCGCGCGAGTGCAGGAGACGATGACGAAACGCGAGAACAAAAAAAAAAAAGGGGAGCCACCAGAGAAACAAGACTCACTTGCATCCCCCCGTACCCGTACCACTCCCAAGCGGCGCCGACCCGGGCCCACAGGCGATCTTGCGGCCGCGGCAGAATAGGCATCTGGAACGTTCGTCGGTTAGTTTCAGAACAAAGAGAAGTGAGGGCGAGCAGAGCAAGAGGAAGCGGGGGAGGACGCGAGGCGGGGGTAAGGAAAGAAGCAGAGCGAGGAAGGCAAGGATAGGGAGGCATTGAGAGGGAGACGAAAGGCGAGGCGAGGCGGGGATGTACGAGAAAGGGCAGAGGAAGAGGAACGCGAGGAACGATCGGGAACGAGGAGGGAGGGAAGATGCGCGGAAGGAGGGGACGGGACCGTAAGGAGAGATGAGGGGAGGAGGGCAGTGGCGGGATATGAAGGCGGAGTAGGACATAATGGAAAGCCCAAGCAAAAGAACAGAAAAATCACGTACGCCAACGGCGGCTTCTTCGGTGCGCCACCTGCACCTGCTGCGGTCGAGGTCGAGGTAGACGACTGCAAAAAGTTGGTCAGCGTCGTGAAGTAGAATGAAAGCGCAATAGAACACACCTTCCGCCTCGCCCCTCCCTTCTCCTTCCCATTCACCTCCTTGTCCTTCCCACCCCGTTCACGCTGCTTCCCCCCCCTTTCGCGTTCAGGCGACCGACTATGACTATGTCGTTTACTCGTGCTAGGGGATAGGGGGGATAGCGACAAAGCGCGCTTGCCGTTCGCGTTCGGCTCCTCCTCCCCACCTTCGTGCTCGTCTTGCTCCTCACTCCCCTCCTCTCCTTCTTGTTCCTCGCCCTCGTCGTCGTCGCTCAAATCACTCTCTCCGTTGCCCTCCACGCCGCCCTCAGTCGCGGCGAAGGAATTAACATTATCGGAAGTATTGGATGAGGCAGAAGCAGCCTCCCTCAACGCAATAACGCTCGACACGAGCGGGCTCGCGGGGTAGTACCCGCTGCGCCTTTTCGGCGGCGCGAGGTTGCGGCGGTTGGCGCGGGCGGTGCCGCGTCTCCTACCGCTGCCGTTGTTGGGGTCGAGGCCTCTGCCCAGTTGGTCAAGGGCGGGTTGCGGCGCGAGGGGATGCGGGTGGTGCGGATGGGGAGGGTGAGAAGAGCGGGCCTGGTGGTGCTGGGCAGGGTGCGCGTGCTCGAGGGGAGACAACGAGGCAGCGAGGGAGGAGGACGAGTGAGGATGCGGCGGCTCGAGCGGCGACAGGTTATGCGAGGACGAAGATGCGTACGGCGGGTACGCATACGGCACAGAGACGGGCGCCGGGTATCCTTGCTGCAGAGGCGGGTACGGGAGGGGCAGCGGCAGCGGCGGGGCAGTCGGGACAGCGTACGCGTCGTACCCAGCACCACCATCGTACGCGGGTTGGTAGTACGCAGCTGCGGCCGCCCCTCCATCCTGCATGGGGTAGTTGTCGTTACCGTTGCCGGTGCCGGTGCCGAACGCGTCCACGGGGCTCCCGCTCGCGGCGCTGCTGTAGGAGCCGTCGCTCACGGCGCTCAGCGGCGGCGGCGTGCCGTAGGTTGCGTAGGAGGAGGAGGAGGCGGCGGCGGCGTCGGGGTCGGGGTTGTAGTCCGGGGGCGGGGACGCGCTGTGCGTGTACGCTGGGGTCTCAACGTGCTGCTGGCCGAGACGCAGCGCGAGCCGCGGTGGTTCCTGCGAGGCGGCGGCGGCGGATGGCCAGACGGATGGCAAAAACGCCCACCCCTGCGGGTCGGGGTACGCATACTCGCCCCCCTCGAAGCCGTACGCCAACAGCGGATGCGCGTCGTGTAGGGGCTCGACGACGAGGCTGAGCTCCGGCGGGGCGAACATCCTCGCATGCTCCGCCTCGACTTGCTTCGAGCGCGGGGACGGGCGGGCGTCGGGGAAGGTCGCGTAGAAGAGGTCGTCGTGGTGGGCCATAATCTCCTCCATCTTCATCCTTGGGCGTGCTTGAACTCGACCTGGTCAAGGGGTGGCCGTATATAAGCGCATCACCTGTCCTGCCTGCCCACACCCAATCCAATCTCAGATTCGATTCGATTCCTGGTTCTTCGCCATTTCATTACATAACAAATCCAACCTTACCGCATTCAGCCTGCAACCCAAATCGGGAAGAGGGTGGATGTGGATCTGCATCAAATCGCGTTTTTTGCTCTTTTGCTCCCGCGGCACCAGATGTGATCTCTCGTCTGGCTTGGCTAACCTTCCATTCAATTCA